TTGATGTATAGGTTGAAACAAGTATAAAAATTGGGTTCCAACTTTAGGGATTAGATGAGTTCCTGTACATCTAATGGGCATTTGGTCGTCGGTCTACTTAAGAAGTCTTACATTCTCAGCTGTAAGCAGAAGAAAGAACCTGTTAGAACGCTGACCATCTCCTTAAGATTATGCCGCTAAAACCCACATGCCTCAAATAACACTAAATATTATTTAGATAACGAGTAATAATGGAAAGTGGAGCTCTTCCCGAACTTAGGAAGGAAAAAACAAAAAGAAGGGCATGTGCGATGTATACACATGGACGACAGTGACGGAGATCGGATGATGTATTCATGCAGTCAGTCAAGCAATTAGTGGAACTTCTAGATGAAGACATAAATTAAACAGAGGCCTTATATTATTTATGTTCTGGAATGTCCAAAATTTAAACAAAGGCCTTATATCATAAAATTATACAAGAAAAACAGAAAAAGGGCAAAATTAGAAGATAAAGAAAGAAGCAAACAAGCCGACGAAATTAAAGAAATTCGTATTATTGACTTTTCCGACCACCGTTTTTCTAAGCCCAGCTAGGCATGGAGGAGCCTTGGAGCCGTAGCTAAGCAACGGAGCTTGGCACCACACCCCATCTGCTGTTGCCTATAAAACAAGAGCAACTGAAAAATCAACTTCAACTTCAACTCTCTCTCTCACTTCACCATCTTAAGCTTGACTCTCCACTTTCCTAAAAAAAAACCTTCAAAATGAGCCCCAACTCTCGTGCCAATTTTGTCCATGTCCATCTTGAAGAAATCCGTCTGATTGCGATCCAAGCCGTACAGAACATAGGCGGTCTCAGGCCACTGAGACTCTACTCGGCAACTGTCGACGGAACCTGGACAAGTAGTAGTTTGTGCCCGGAAAGGGTCTTCTTGACTCACATCCCTCTCCTCACTTGGCGCACTCCAGAAGACGCCACCGCTGCAATTATCCAATTCCGCCTGAATTTGGCCTTAAACAGCAGCACCAGCCACCACCAATTCTGTTTTCTAGAAAACGAAGCCGCTGCCGGCGACAGTGAAGCACAAACAGCAGTTTATGACCGTGATTTATTAGGCACAAACAGCAGCTTTTGGTCCACTTACATTGATTTTGCTGGAAAGGATGTGGTGCGGTGTCCTTGTTTCTGTGTTTATTTTTGTCTAATAATTCTCATAAACTCAATAGGAGTTTTCTAATGTTTGTATTTTGTGTTTGACTTTTCGATGCGGATTTACCGTTACTGCCGTTGCGCGGCGAATCTATATTGAAGGTCTGAGTACATATGCTTTTGTCTGTCGAATTAGAAGTTTTAGGTTTTTCTGGCATGCGTAATTCTCTATAGATCAAACCAATAAAATTACTATCGCTTTTAATATTTAAAAAAAAAAAGGAAAATTAAAAAGATTTGGCACCGTGAGTGGAATATGAGGTAAATCTATATATATAAAGCAAAAGGCAGAGAATGGTGAAACATTCAAAACACCAAAAAATGCCCTTGGTTAATGCAAACATTAAGAATTGAAATGATTAATTAAATGAGGATAATATGGTAAATTCACACTTTTTCATATTAAAAAAAATTAAAATTAAAAGACAAATCAGATAATGGATCATATTTTTATGGAACACAACTATCCATTATCTTTTTTTAATTCTAAAACAAATTTAAAATAAAAATAAAAGAAGCCTCTCGCATGCGCGGAAGCGCATGTGGAGAGGCTAGTATCTTTTATTTTTCTTTTACTACTTGAGTTTGAGTGTACCTTTTTCTTTCCATTTGGTAAGTATCATTAGTTACCAAAAAACGAAACTAAATTTGTAAAAGAAAAAACGAAAGAAAAGGAGCCCTAATTTGAACACAACATACATACAATGGACTTGTTTTTTTATTTAGACGCTCTGTTTTTCCGCATTGGAGCAAGTGAAAATAATTGTGTCCAAATTTCAGACAGAAAATTAACTCAAGGTTGGAATTTAATGATTTGAAAGTGGTTGAGCAAAATCAGTAATAAAGTAAACAAAGTAAAAAGTGCAAAAATGCAATACTGCAACTGTGAAGACATAAATGAAGGCCTCTGCTCTACCCCAAAAACAGAGGCCTTATATTATGTTCTGGAATGTCAAAAATTTAATCAGTGTCGCTGCCGACACCTTATATCATAAAATTATAAAAGAAAAAAAAAGAAAAGGGCAAAAATATAAGTAAATAAGCCGAAGAAAATGAACCTATCATTATCTCAGTAGAAGACACGGTAGCTTGACTCTTTTTACTTGTATGCCTTGCCTTCTTCAATCGATAGCACTCGTACTTTCTCCAACCTATGACAAAGTGCTTCAAATGATAATAATATGGTGACTTGAGATTTCTTTTTCTTTTTTCCTTTGCCTCCTCCTAGACCTAAAAGTCTTCTTAAATCCTTGTTCATACACTAACTGGGTATAGCTCAATAAAAAATGGCCCTAACTTGCTAATAATAGTCATAGATTCAAATTCTCATAGCATCCTAATATATATATATATATATATATATATATATATATATATTAAAGAAAGAGAGCAAAACAGAAAGGCATAAGGGAACTTGAGAAAGTAACGTATTGAGCCTTGGACTATTAGGTGCGTGCAGAGATGGAGGTCAGAGACTCGGAGTTAAAGAAAACCTATTCTTTTTTCTTTATCATTCAATAACTTAATTTGCGTTTTTGTCTCTAAAAATCAAACGTGACTAAAAAAGCATGATGAAATTAAGGTGTCTCGGAAGATCTCAACCGTTACTGAATCACCATCTGACGGTCTTGATCTGCCCATTCCAACACATAATATATGTGGCTGGCTACTCACACTCAACTCAATCACCGACCGACCCGTTTGCAATCTAATATGCGACTGCGCAATATTTTAATACTTGTACGGATATTTGTTTTCTTTTTCACTGTATTTATATTGTTCTCTTGACTTTGTAATTTTATTCTCGTGTATCTCAAAAATAGATAAATACAAAATAATTGTATTCTCATGCATTTATTCGTTGTATTTTTCTCTTGACTTGCCACACAAGTAATTCATTGTATTTATATATGCTTTTTGTTTCGTTTATGAAGTGATTGAATTCTTGATTGTCAACCAAAAGTTTTCTTTCTTTGCATAACTAAGTTGATGAATTTAGTCCAAAATAGGCAACATAACAGTTAATTGATCCAAAGTCATAGCTGGGGTCAAAGTTGGACCAACTTGGTTCAACACTCTAGCTCAAAAAATGCAAACCTCTTTATTCGAAACTTCTATATTCCAGCAAATATGTTGGAATTAAGTGAGATATTTATTCTTTTAATTTAAGTTATAATACACACTTTGAAATTAAAATCTCATAACTAAGTATCATATGACGGCTAAGTCAGACTAAATCAGTATAGCACATGACCAACACTTTATTTTGAAACTTTTCAACAAACTTCAATTGAAAATGATTAATTAATCCGTTTGATAACTATTTCAATTTTAGCTTTAGTTTTTAATTTTTTGTGCTAAAGTATAAAGGAAAAATAGGGAGAATGGAATTGAGAATGAGAGTGGAGATTAGATTGAGAGGGAGGATGAGAGAGGATGATGGGAGGAATGTGTAACAAAAGTGAAAATAAAAACTAAAAACTGAAATCTATTTGAAATTAAATTCACTTTCAAGTTTTTGTTTTCACTTTTGTTACTCCTCCCTTTCATTATCTATCTCAATCTCATCCCCACTTCCATTAACTCTCATTTTCCTCTATACTCTAGCACCAAAAAAAAATTTGGTTATCAAAAATACAATTAACATAATGCTAATATTAAGTCACTGTCTCACTCGAAGCTAAGTCGGCTCAGCTGGGTCTACCACCACCCTCCATGCCACAAGCATATTATTTTACCTTAATTAATTATAATTAGCTTCCCTCTTTTTATTGATTTGGTTGTTTGACCCTTCGCAGCGAGTTGTGTATGGTTTGGTGGATAAGGCCGATAGATAGATGACGTGGTGGTGGTGGTCCTAATCAGGTCTTTGCAAATTTTTCTTCGTAGCTAGCTGTATTTACTTTTTTCCATAATCTTTTTCCTTATGTTCTTTCCCCCTTTTTAATTTTTCTTCGCATTTTTCGTACATATTTTTTGGAGGATGGGGATATATAAATTTGGTGGAGAGGAGGGGAGGGCATGAGAGAAGCAGAGTAGAGAATAGATGTGAGGTTACAGATCAGCAATTAGTAGAACTTCTAGACGTAATTTGACTTGTGCGAGTTGTGAACTTGTAACAATAAAAACGAAAACTAGCTTATTATACACGTAAGTGACCTCTGTGGAGTGGAGGAACACAAAGTTTTGACGCCGTGCGTGGAATATGAGGTAAATATACTTAATTTGGTATTGAACGAGTGAATCTTTTTCTTATCATTTGGTAAGTATCATTAGTTACAAAAAAACAAACTAAATTTTTACTAAACTCAGGGACACTACAGTAATAAATTTTTACTTTTCAAAAGAAAAAAAAGAAAGAAAAGGAGCCCTAATTTGGACACAACATACATACAATGGACTTGTATTTTTATTTAGACGTTCTTTTTTACAGAATTTGGAGCAAGTGAAAATAATTTCAGACAGAAAATGAACTTTAACGTTGGAATTTAATGATTTGAAAGTGGTCAAGCAAAATCACTAATAAAGTAAACAAAGTAAGAAGTGCAATACCGCAACTGTGAAGACAAATGAAGGCAGGCACAGAATGTAAACTATTGACTTTCCCGACCACAGACCAGCAAGGCCTGGAGTAGGCTTGGAGCCGTAGCTAAGCAATGGAGCTAGCTACCACACCATACCTACTGTTGGCCTATAAATTCCCACGTCAATGGGGCTAAGAAATTGAGAACTCAGCTTCATCTCTCTCTCTCTCTCTTCCCAATCTTAAGCTTTACTCTCCACTTTTCTCAAAAAAAAACCCTCGAAAATGAGCCCCAACTCTCCTGCCAATTTTGCCGATTTCCATATTGAAGAAATTGCGATCCAAGCCGGAGAGAACATAGGCGGTCTCAAGCCACCGAGACTCTACTCGGCAGCTGTCAATGGAACCTGGACCTGGACAAGTAGTTGTTTGTGCCCAGAAATGGTGTTCCTGACTCGCATCCCTCTCCTCACTGGGTGCACTCGAGAAGACGCCGCCGCTGCAATTATCCAATACCGCCTGAATTTGTCCTTAAACAGCAGCACCAGCCACCACCAATTCTGTTTTCTAGAAAACGGAGTCGCTGCCGGCGAAGGTGGAGCACCCAATTACATCCCAGATCTCAATGTCTCGCCGCCTGATGAGACGGCGCCGGCGAAGGAGTTCGTCAGAGTAATCAAGAGCCAGAACATCTCCCGGCTAACTGATTATGTGGTTCGGTACCTGGGCGAGCACGGGAGTGAGGAGAAGGTGGCGGAGTACAGGAAGATTCTGAGTACCAAAAGCGAAGCCGAAATGGGAAACCTGGATTCGATTCGGATCTGGAATATTCTCACCCTGGAAGCCGAAATTCAGAACGCGCTCATAGCGAAAGGCCTCGTGGAGACCCCAATGCGCTTCGACGACCTTGAGTTCCCGCCGCCGCAGGAGCTGCTTCCAATTCCTGAAAAAGGCAGGAAGGGCGCCAAGAAGGCCCGGTACTGTGGGGTTTTTGGTATGGATGAGGCCAAATCACCAAATTCCTGAAGCAGGGGACTCTGACTCTTGAGACTGTTCGCGAATACCGAGATCCCCTTTTTGTACTTTTATGTTTTATTTATTTTAAACTAGAATGTTTTTGTGTGAATAACTTGCTCTGCTTTTGCTGCAAGTTTGGAATTCCGTGTGGAATTTCTGTATTTATGATTTTAGGAATTTCATAAATTTGCTGATGGCCTGAGTCTGAATTAATGGATGCAGGAGAAAATCTTAGGTGAGATGGATGATTACGTATACAATCGTTCTCCTGATTATATTTTAATTAGTAATATTAATTATGGTATTTCAAATGATGAAAACAAGAAATAATTATCATCAGTGGTGGTCTACGTTTGACAAATGGCCAAAAAGGGATTTGTTTTGGAGGGGTTTTGAGCCAAAAAGAGCAAAAATAAGCAGGCAGTCCAATTTGAGTGGACTGGTGTGGTAGTATACTCACTGATTAGGAATGTTTAAAGATGATAAACTAAAGTTGTGAAAAAACATTTGGACTTTATAGCAAAGTTGTACTCTCTCTGTTTTTGGTAAATCAACCATGGTGATGATGATGCTCAATTATTTTTAAATAATAAGTGACAAATAAAGAAAGAAGAAGAATAGGAATCCCATATTTAAAGGCCATATGTGAACAACCCGCTGCATGCAAGAAAAACATAGCTATTTCAAAAAGCTCGTCCCCACCACACTGGTGGTGGTGGATTGAAGATATCATTACCACGGACGAAAGCTAAAAGAAGCCGACAACATTTCTAGAGGATCTAGAGATTGCATACGGAAGTTGGTACCTGGTAGTAATGCTTTGCTTGCTTTGCTTTCATGAATTCATTAAACTATATCCTCATGACCTGATGAAAGCTAAACTTTTGTCTACCATTCATATATCAACTATAGCTTTTTCTATTTTTTCTGTTTTTCTTTTTCCTAGTTCGTTGGTTTCAACTTTGCTTTGGTCGTTTTCGTTCGGCTCTCTCTCATCTCATTGGTTCAGGTAAGGATTTCATGCGTATCCATCCATGGCCTTATGCTGAACCAAATCAACAGACCCGCGACATGGCACTCTTAGGATCGTTGGTTTGGTGACAGCTGTTGGTCCATCTCATCCGAGAACGCCTTGCCAATGGATAATCATGTCATGTCTTAGTCGTTCTTGACCCAGAAACAAAAACAAAAACAAAAAACACATGTCTTAGTCGTTCATCCTTTTCATGTATACTTGGATTTCATTGGATATATTATTACAAGTTCCATCCATTCTTTGTCTGTACACCTCATACCATTTAAATTGTTGAATTTTCCTGTCAAATATGTTTTTTGGGTTTAATTTTATTAAGAATGAAGTGAATAGTAATTTAGATAGCATAAAAGTTAAGTAGCCGAATAAAACAATTACTTTATTTTGGGGACTTTCATGTTTCCACTGCAGATTGAGCTTGTTCTAAAGCGATGGAACAAAATTGCCACGTCAAATGCTACTTGAGGTTTGGTATTTGGGTCAAGTTTTGAGAGAAGGTGGGCGGAACATAATTTGTTTGTGCAGAGGAAACTTGCACAAGTGCTGCAGTCGTAACACACACACACACTAATAAAACTTAGGTGTGGAATTGTTATTTATTTTACATCATCTATTGCTGATGATTAGTGCGTTCCAAAACTAATTTCTCCAATTCTCACGTGGTTTCCAAAACTAATTTCTCCAATTCTCACGTGGTTACTTTCCAGGCAGCCATCACGCTTCAGTGAGTTAACGACACTAACCAAATAAAAATGGTCGGCAACATCCACTCCTTGGCTTTTCATGAAAGGAGACCCGCGCATCCAGTGGGACCCACCTTCCTCTTATAAACCAAGCTCCATCTTCTTCAACCCAACCACATCTCTCCTCTCTCTCTCTCTCTCTCTCTCTCTCTCTCTCTCACCATCAGATTCAGACCTTTCAAGCTATAGCAGCAATCGCCATGGCTTCTCTTCTCGGGCCTTCTTCTTCCAATTTACTCCTCCACCACCTGAGAGAAGTCCGTCTGCCAACGATCCGAGATGCAGAGGTCGAAGGAAGCAGTAACATTGGATGGGCTGGCCACAGTCCAGCCTCAGCTGCTATCGTGGCGCCAAACGCTGCTTTCAGCTTCAGGGGCCCACAGACGACGGTGTACGCGGCGGTCTACTGTGGCGGCGGAGGTACTGGTTTGTGTCCAGAGAAGGTCCTTCTGACTGCTCTCCCGGTCAATGGACCCACCCGACAAGACGCTATGGCTGCAATCACTGCGTTCCGGTTGAACATGGCCTTACGCCATAGCAGCAGCCGCCGGCAAGTGGTGGATTTCTGTTTTCTGGTTCCGGCTGAGGGTGGTGACCAGAATTTTGTGGACCCCGCACCAAACGGGGGACCCAATTATATCCCTGATCTCAATGTCTCGCCCCCGGATGCGACGGCTCCGGCGACGGAGTTCGTCGGAGAAATCGAGAGACAGAACATCTCCCGGTTCACTGATTACGTGGTGTGGTACCTGGGCGAGTACTGGAGTGATGATGAGGTGGCGGAGTACAGGAAGATTCTGAGCGGCAAAAGTGAAGCCGAAATCGGAAACCTGGACTCGATTCGTATCTGGAATATTCTCACCCTGAGAGCCGAAATTCAGAAGACGCTCGTTGCGAAAGGGCTCGTTGAGGCCCCAATCGGCTCCGAATCCGATGATGTTCAATTCCCGCCACTGCAGCAGCTGCTTCCCATTCCACAACAAGGCTGGACGGCCGCCCTCAACCATGCTCATATTCATTGTCATGTCATTGCTGCCGCCGCCGGCACCGGTGCCAATTTTAACGGCAACGATGAAACTATGGTACTATTTAGTAATTTGTAGATGGGTAACTTCAACTTGATTGCATTGAATATCTGTTTTCTTTGCTTTCAGTCGGATGGTCGCAATTATGGTGTTGGTTATGAGAAGCAGAGCAACGTGGCGAAGCGCAAAGCGGTGGCTGTTGGTGGTGTGGACGAGGACGACCCATGTTGTCCCTATGATCTGCCGAAGAAGAAGCCCAGCCACGGCGTCGGGGTTCTTCGGATCGATGAGGCTAAAGCCCTGGCTCGGGACAAGGCGCCTATTGATGAAGCAGAGGAGGAGGGCGTGTCCTCTGATTCTGACTCATCATTCTGAATCAATCCTCCGAAAAGTCCCTTTGGATTGTTTCATTTATAGTGGAAGGCTTTTTGTGTGTGAAACTTGTGCGTTTGTTTTGTTGCTTTGGTTTTGCTGGGTTTGTTTGAAGAGAGTGAGGGTTTGTTTCCATCCATATATGTATTGTAATTTGTAATGTCCCAGTTGTAAGTCCATACTAGAAGGCTCGACAGCCCTATCAACTTGTTGTTGAATTTGCTTATGTACTTTTGCCAGTCTAAAGTTATACTAGATTTATGAATCTTATCATCATCATCACCATATCATGATGACTTTGACAAATAGTTGCTAGCATAGCATGGATGCTGACCTGAACTTGATTACCAGATATGCAGATACATTATGTACATTAAAGCTGTTGTCCGCTGGGAAGAATAAGACGGTTGGGTCCAGTTTGAATGGGCAAATTTTATGGCCTTCCCGCACTCTATCACTCTATTCAATCAAATTAATGCTTATGTTATTGTTTCATGGTTGATTTTGATGTGAACGGGGGGACTGAGCGGGACCCGCACCATTTTAACGGTGGCGCGCGCTTGATAAATCATCCATCAAAGTTGGATGGAGCACACGTACGCGTTTGGATGCAGACAAGGCTTGGCTCGCGAGGACAGAGACCAACGTTGATCCTCCAAAAGCTGAAAAAAATTATAACAGTACGACTCTTTCTATAAATACAAAGCACCGCCAACGCCCGCCTTCTCCAAAACCCAAAAAATCCTAACCCAACAAAAATTCAATAGTGATGTCAACCTCTCCAAATCCAGACGCTTCTGTTTTTGCAAGAATAATGGAACTTCACTTCAAAGACCTCGATCTGTTCCCAGAACATCTCCTCAACAAAGAACAAATGCTTCCCATACTGCAAAAGTACTTCTCACTCACTTTCCTGAAAGAGTGTCTTGCAGAACAAATTGCTGTCGATAAAAGCCATTCAGCCCACCGGATTAACCCCTGTCCGGTTGACTCTGCTCTCAAGGACTGCGTGGCGCAGGTTCTGGTGTCCAGCAACAAAAACTTCATCAAAATTGTGCATTGCTACCTGCTTGAAGCTGGCAAGGAGAAACAAGCTGAAGAGTACCTGCAAAAGGTGAGCCCTGCATCTCGGGTCCAACACTTGGACTCTATCAAGATGTGGAATTACCTTACTCTGCCATTCCAGGTGTTCAAGGTAATGGAAGATATGGGATTAGGCACAAATCCTTCCGGTTTCTTCATGCCTCCAACACCACCTGAGGTTTTTCCCACTCCGGCACCGGACTGGACGCCCGGCCAGGCTATGGCCGACGGTAACGTTCCGTGACCTTGCTTTGGAGGCTTAATTGACAGCTTGGTGAATAAATTTGGAGTTTTACTTTTACAGCAAGACTTTTTTTCTGTTTTTTGTAAAATATTGGGGGTTTACTTTTACTGTAAGAACTTTGTTGATTTGGGTTTACTTGGGTAATGATAAGAATTTGTCTGTATAAATGTACATGCTTAGTCAATAATTACGTGTATATATATATTTTAGCATCGAGTAACAGAGCATTAAGTAAACTGTGGCCAAAAGCTTGATTTCTATCTTTGGAGTTATGATGTGGAGTGCCCGCTCTTTGTAATTCTTTATATATAGTAAAGAGACTGTTTATTTTGTAAAATAGAGGTAGATCAATTGTGCTGAATGAAATTCTTACGTTTGTGATCTATTTTGTTGTTGAAAAATGAATACCTATGTTTCAAAATTGCTTCAGGATGAGGCTGGCATTGTTCCTGAGACCGAGGACAGCCCTTCAACAGCTGTGGAGCCTAACCCTGTTGGACTAGTTCTTCACGTTGGTGAGGTTGCAGACCGGTCTATGATGGATGCTGCAGCTGAACACAAGAAGAAGAAGGGGGTGATGGAAGTGGAGTCTCCTCTGACACAGACCAAGCATCACCCAGTTATCCTGTTTTCTTTCTTTTTACTTTGAAGACTACAATCATCCTGGTTATGAGCCATGACTTGATGCAATCCTTTTGCATATGTGGTTGCTGCACGGGATATGCATCCTTGATTATGTTTGGACATCTTTTTAACATTGGTTGATCCTGTTATGAATGCTGCTTTGATATAAACTGACTACCCGCCACTTGCACAATTGCACTCTGTTATGAATGCTACTCATTATAAATTTCAGTCAGAACCAAGATTCGCTATAAATTCTAGGAAGCATGATAAGCCTCAAACTACTGCATGTACCTTATATATAGTCATTGGCTGCTTGATTCATGAAGTCCTTGGGTGTTATTGAATTCTGCATTCGAATATGGATGTATAATTCACACATATGTATTATAATGATAACACGATACAAGTTTAGTTCTGTTTTCTCAGCATGATAATCAATCCTCTATATATATGTTGCCCTGTAAGATTGTTTCCATTATCACCTGAAATTGTCCTTACAAACTGGTTCTAAGCACAAATGTTACCGTCATGTGTTACTATGACTACAACATTAGATCCAATTCTATAGGAATATAGTGCTGGTTGAATCTTTGCATCATCTTTTTATTCCATGCTATAGTTGCATGTATGTATGGCATGCAAATCACTAATATGTATCTATTTGTGAAAACAGATTAAGCTACAAGGTAACAAGTTCCTTCCCTGATGGAATTTCTTACAACACCAAGCATATTTCCTAGGTTAGAAGGGTAGCAACCAGATTCATCCTCTTAGAACAAGTTGCAAGACTTCCTATATTTGACTGCTCATATATCAACCATACATTGTTGTTAACTGAAACCTTCCTTTAGCATATTCCCCTGCTCGTTTCTAAAACCCAGAAATCCCCATTCCTATAGCATATTGAGTCTATTTCAGAGATGGGATGAAGTTGAATGGCGCCTCTAGCTCACTAAATTGAACCCTCCTATAGCATATCGAGTCTATTTTTTGCAGAATCTGGAAAAATGCCATGGTTTTACACTGGTATAAAACCAGATTAAAGATACTGATTCGTATGAATCTTGCAGCATAATCTGTACATACTAAATACAACTGCTTATCAATATGCCACACAAATGTTCCAAATCGCCATATTTTATCATTTGCCTCGTTACTTTTGGAAAGTAGAATATCTAATATTCCAAAAGACAAATGCATGCCCGACACCCAAATCCTCTTTAGTTTAGTACAGAGTACAGACACTTTTGTTTACGTCTCAAACCCAAACATTCACGAACACAAGTACTTGCTTGTGTGACCCCATATTCTATTACCCAAAAAAGAAAGGAAAACTCTCGAGACAATTTGGGAAAACCCTTTTCCTGTCAGCTCACAAGGCAGTGACAGAAGCCAATGTTAGCAAATACTAGGGAATATGTATACCCTATTTGGAAAGGGGGACAAAGCACGTATTCTGTAATGAAAAAAAGGTTCTTTGCCTCTTTGATATCATATAGTTTTTCATTGAATAAAGCAAAATTCATTCCCAAAATAAGAAATCTAGACCCTACATCCATAATTTCATTGCTTACTATATTCATGAATGTAAGAATATCCATCATAAGATTAATCATTTGAAACTTAATACAAGTTTTTCCATCAAGATTGAGTGATTGCAGAACTTACACATTAATATTGAATCTGCATTACTGTGAACAGGTTATGAAGAACCCCCGAGTCTCTCAGATGATATCTGCAAACCATTAAAAGCCCAAAAGTTTTACGCCATTGCTAAACACAGAATCAAGTAAAATTCAACAGCATTGTCAGATTCAAATTGCCATGAATTTAATTCCATATCAAATTCTTCACCTCATTGTGGCAGCTGAACCACCATGATTGTGTGGTTGTTGTGTTCAGTGCACCAGGAAATTATCATCAGCCATAGGAGAGCGCTAAAGATCTTGCTTTGGGCTTGCTGTCTATAAGTCCCAGAACGTGAAGCTGGTGTCGAAAACCAACAGCACGCCCGCCATATTCATAGTCCCATACGGAACAACATTTGTGGAGGGTGCGGCGTTTGAATGACTTTCAGAAAACAAAATTTCTTTAGGGATTATATCTAAACGGGGCATTTCCGTGGTTTTCCAAAGTACAATGGGCAAAATTGAAATTTCAGAATCTCTGAGCTTCATTTTCGACTTTTTAAGAAAAGTCATTACTTCGAGAACAACCTCCCTGATCATTGAGTTATTATTGGTTCACTGGGTGTTTTTTTGCATTATAAGTGATTCTTGGTGTTGTTCTTGTTGGATATGTAAATTTGGAACTTTTCAAGAACTATGTTTGGCTTGATCCTTCGAGAATAGTATGGAGGCAACCTAGGTGCAGCTACAAAGTTAAACACTTTACGTTATGTTCTTTTACATTGAGAATAGTTGCTGTGATTTGATTATGTGGTATTTTGGATTGAGGGTCTAAGACCCATTTTGGATCGATTATTGGTTATGGTTGTGAAAAAAGGGCCTGAAGACCATTAGAATTATTGCTAGGGTGTAGTTGACTTATATCTTATGCTTGCTGAATGATTGGGGAGTAAATTGTATTCTCTGTGTAGGTAGATTTTGGGGATTGGCGAGTAAATTGTATTCTCTGTGTAGGTGGATTTTGGGTTTAGAGCCATTTTAAAAGTAGACTTTGCCCTTTTTTCGTGTAGAAGTCCAACCTTATCCTAAGGTTGTTTTGGAATTATGACAAGAATGACATTTTAGTAATTTAGACCAACACCTGCAATTTGTCAGACTGACACAAGGTTCATTGCGGATTCCAAAGAAAAATTCAGGATGAATCCTATCAATAATAATTTGAATTATTTTGTAAAATTTTCAACAAAGTCCCATCCCAAGTTATTAGGGCGCATTTTCAAATTTTGAAGAGCTAGCTAGACTAGTTTTCTATAGATAATGCATGCATCACAGAGAGTGAGAGACCAACGTTTGTGCTATGTTATTGATGTTGAGCTTTGGTGTTTGCTTCTTCAGCATTGGTGATGTGTCACAATGCGCTTAGAAGCAGGAAGGTTTGGGAGTTTTTTTGTTTCAGTTTTGACAAGGCGATATCCTTCACTTTCCAACCTAACAAACTCTCTCTCTAGATATCTCATTTGAATGCTGAATCAAGTCGATTCGTGCCGAGTCAAGTTGATTTGTGTAATAGGTGAGAAAAAGAAGAAGATTCCCTTCGCTTTTCCGTTTGACATGGATGCAATGCATATTGAATTTGATCAACAAAACAAAACATTTCATTTCATTTTCTAGCGGATCGCCCTCTCTTCAACCATAGTGAAGGTCCACGACAAAATAATTAGCCAATTTAACACCAACTACATATCAGAAGAAAATAAATATGTGAGGGAGGATGGTTGCTGGAAGAATTTCTTTAGATGTATTTGATGATTGGGATTGCACTTTTTATTGTTAATTTTTAATTTTTATGAGCCGCTATCCTTGACTTTCCCTCGTAGCTACCTACCTACCTCAACCCTCATTCTCTCCCGTCCATCTCAATTTGATGGATGCCCTCATGATCATTTCACATAGGAACAATTCAACAACAAATAAAAAGAAAGAAGAAAGGATGTAGGACGTCCCGCAAATAATGAACTGAAGGTAATGAACACAAATTTGCAGCAAAATTTGGCATGTTGGAGTTGGATATCTTACTATCTTTATGACAAAAAAAGACGTCATGCGACCGCTAGACGCGCGTTCACACATAGAAGGGAGAAATTATAGATAGAATAGTACATTAGTTGGTAGAAAGTTAATATATATATACATATCGTCCTTCAAACTTCCAATACAAACGTTCCATCCTCCTCCTCCTCTTCCTCATTCAAATTATAGATTATCATCTCTCCTCTTTCATCCCTTGAACTAAATTAATAATCAACAAATGATTTCACCGTTAGCCTAACCTATGTTGTCGTTGTGAGAACATATATTTCGTGGGCCAATAAGAAGATGACAAGGGAAAAATGAATATTCTTTAGGTCAACCAATTTTAGGCCTAATTTGGAGACAACATGCATACAAATTATAATGGGCTTGTGTTTTTATTTAGACGTTCTGTTTTTCAGGTGTAAACAAATTTGCTAGAAGACATAGAGAGGACAGAGAATTGGAGCCAGGGGATCTGAACTCTTGGTCACTGGTATACTCATTAATTAGTGAGGACGCGAGTATTGTTTTATTTAAAAAAAAAGAAGCTAAAATCATTGTAGAGAAGTGTGTCTCTCTTTGGGATACATTTCTAAGTTTGCGGCGGTCAACCTTGGAGAGATGGTGGGGGCCGCGACTTAAATTAATAATTTAATTTATCCTGATATAATAACAATAATAAAACACTAAAAAAGGGCATGATGAAGAAAGATCAAAGATATTAGGAATGTTTAAAGATGATAAAGGGGGCAAAGCTCCATGTGAGAGGCACTAGCAAGCAAGTTGTACTCTTACAATTTGAAATTAGAAATAAATAAACATGTTAAAGAAAATTATAAATAAATAAAAACATTTGGACTTTTAATTAAATCAACCATGGCGCTTAATTATTTTTAAATAATAAGTGACAAATAAAGAAGGAAGAAGAATAGAAATCCCATTCTTAGAGTGCATGTCTTTAATTTGACACTTACAATGGCGGTGATGGTAGGAGAAGAATCTTTGCCTCATGCATTTGGTTGCTATTTTATTGACAACTAATCAGCATTGTCGCCAACCCTACAACTAGCTAATCCCATATTTTATGTGTATTAGTGTGGGTCCAATTTTGGAAATATTAAAGAAAAGATGATAACCCTTTTGTTTTAATCTATTATTTATTATAAAGAATATTTGTCGTCTACTATTATAAAGCCAGGCCAAATCAAGCGCATATTCAGGTTATAGAAATAATTAAGAGAATATAAGAGCATCACTTTTGTAGAGAATCTAGAGATTGCATATATGCATTTTCTTTTCTTTCATCACTTTTATTTCATTCAAGGAGATCCTCATCATGTTCTAGAAAAATGATTAATAAGTTTGTGGTCTATAGGGGCTTTTTTCTTCCGGCAGCTACAAATGGGCTGCTATGAATAAAAAAATTCCCCGTTTTTTATATTGGTTTTGTTTTTCCTATCAATAAAATCTCTATCACTATTCTAAAAAAAAAAAAAAAAAAAAAAAAAAAAAAAATTTTTTTTTAAACAACAAAAGAAAAAAGAATATGCTTGGGATACAATCTGACACATCTTACAGCTTACCATCGTATCAAACTATTTCTCTCTCTTTTTTTCTCCCCATTTGAAATTGAGTTTTTTGAACCATTTTTGACTTGATTGTGGGTGACTGATTTTCTCATGCTTCGGCTTCGGCTTCATCTTGTTCTAAAAGTGCTAGAACCAAATGACCACGTCAAATGCTACTTGAGGTTTGGTACTGGGGATCCTCATCATGTTCTAGAAAAATGATTAATAAGTTTGTGGTCAACCTTTGAGACAAGGGTGGCGGAACATAATTTGTTTCTCCAGCAGTCATCCAAGTTTTTTATTTTATTTTAATATAAATGATAGTCTAAAATATAAGAGATGATGATTTCTCACACACATACAATTATAATGTCCTAGTCCGTAGGTATTCAAATCTAAAACCTCCAGTCTACAAGTCAATACTTTTTTTCACTTAACTCAACCCCCATCAGCTGCAGAAATGTACAAGTGCTGCAATCGTAACACACACTAATAAAAATTAGGTAATTACATTAACTTTATGATGGAATTGCTATTTATTTTACATCATCTAATGCTAATGGTTGCAGATTAGTGGTTTCCAAAACCAATTTCTCCCATCCTCACGTGGTTTCCAATCAGTGAGTGAACGATACTAAGGAAAGCAATTGGTCGGCTACATACAATCCTTGACTCTTCCTACAAATGAAACCGGCCTATATATTAAAAAAAGCTCCATCATCTTCTTCACAGCAACCACATATCGTCTGCCTCTCTCTCTCTCTCTCTCTCTGCGCTAGCTAGCTATAGCAGCAATGGCCATGGCTTCTCTTCTCAGACTTTCTTCTGCCAATTTACTCCTCCACCACCTAAGAGAAGTCCGTTTGCCAACGATCCTAGCTGCAGAAGTTGAAGAAAGCAGTAGTAGCATTGGAGGGGCTGGAACCGAAACCCCAACCAGTCGAGCCTCACCTGCTATCGTGGCGCCAAATGCTGCTTTCAGCTTCAGGGGACCACAGACGACGGTATACGCTGCTGTATACGGCGGAGAGGGAGGTAGTAGTCTGTGGCCGGAGGAGGTCCGTCTGACTCCCCTCCCAGTCAATGGACCCACCCGACAAGACGCTATGTCTGCAATCATGGCGTTCCGGTTGAAAACGGCCTTACGCCAAAGCAGCAGCAGCCGCCGTCAAGTGGTGGATTTCTGTTTTCTGGTGCCGGCTGAGGATGGTGACCAGAATTTTGTGGACCCCGCACCAAACAGGGGACCCAATTATATCCCGGATCTCAATGTCTCGCCGCCGGATGAGGAGGCGTCGGCGACGGAATTCATCGGAGAAATCAAGAGCCAGAACATCTCCCGGTTCACTGATTACGTGGTGTGGTACCTGGGCGAGTACGGGAGTGATGATGAGGTGACGGAGTACAGGAAGATTCTGAGCAGCAAAAGTGAAGCCGAAATCGGAAACCTTGATTCGATTCGTATCTGGAATATTCTCACCCTGAGAGCCGAAATTCTGAAGGCGCTCGTTGCGAAAGGCCTCGTTGAGACCCCAATCGGCTCCGAATCAGATGATGTTCAATTCCCACCGCCGCAGCAGCTGCTCCCCATTCCACAACAAGGGTGGACGGCCGCCTGTAGCCATGCTCGTATTGGTTGTCATGTCACTGCTGCTGCTGCATACGGTGCCGGCGCCAATTATAACGGCAACAACGAAACTTTGGTACACTATCTAATTACTAGTTGGTAAACTTCAACTTGATTGCATTGGCTATCTTGTTTTCTTTCTTTTTATGCTCTAAGTTGACTCAAAATTTTCAGTCCGATGGTCGCAACTATGCTGTTGGTTATGAGAAGCAGAGCAACGTGGCGAAGCGCAAGGCAGTAGCTTTTGGTTTAGGTGGTGTGGACGAGGACGACCCCTGTCCCTATGTTCTGCCGATGAAGAAGCCCAGCGACGGCGTCGGCGGGGTTCTTCGTATGGATGAGGATAAAACGCGGGCTCGGGACAAGGCGCCTATTGATGAAGCAGAGGAAGAAGAGGAGGAGGAGGAGGACATGTCCTGTGATTCTGACTCATCATACTGAATCAATCCTCCGAAGTCCGAACCCTTTTGGTCTAATTAAATTTTATATACTGGAAGGTTTTTATGTGTGTAACCCTTCAAGGCTTGAAAATCCCCGGGTGTGTTAAAATATGAGATATGATAAATTAGCCTTGATTTGCTGCTTGCTTTGCTAATTACTGGAAGGTTGTTTGTATTGTAGAGGTTTGGGTACAAGAAGAGAGTGATGGAGTCGTCTTGTCTCCTCCACTTTCCATATGTATTGTAATTTGTAATTTGAAATTTCCAATTGAGCAGGGCCTGAATCCATAGAGGATCATGTCCTCTTCTTGTTGAATTTGTTTATGTACTTTTTGATTGATTTTGCATTAATTATTTCTGCCACTCTATAAGTGTACTGGATTATAAATATTATCATGATGCATGATGTCTTGATGTTGACCTGAATTTTGTTGGGTACATTTTATTATCCGATGCAGATGCATTATGTATCATTCGCCTGGCTTCTGTTCCTATTAAAGCTGTTGTCTGTTAGGAAGGATAAGACGGTTGTCTCCGCTTTCAATTATAATTGGTCAAAAATCCATCACAGTTGTTTCTGACTTTCTACCCCAATGCACGTGCGGATTGTTTCATGCTTGATAGAGAAACCAAGAACCATTCACCTATTTCTCTAAATTTCTCCCACATCATGTTTAGTTGGTTCAGATATAAATATAAGTAAAACACTTTTTATTATTATTTTAAAATGTCAAAATACAAGTGAATTATATCATCTATGATCATTGAAAAAAAAATTGTAGGGTACCCTAAAGGGCGTCCCTCAAATAAAATTATTTGAAGAATCCCTCAATAGAAGGGTACTGTTCCTTTACATATCTATAAATAGAAGACTGCTTGCCTTATCGAATCTTTTTCTGGCTTTTGGTGTGAACGGGCAGCGCACTGGTACCAGCGGGACCCGCTAGCATTTTAACGGTTGCGCGCGCTTGAGAAATCATCCATCAAACGTTGGATGGAGGGCACGTGTATCGTGCAAGTTGTGTTTGGCGGTCTGGAGCTCGCGTTTGCAAGAATGAGTATAGTCACCCACTCTACCTGGGCGACGTGGCGGTATCGGGACGGTTCAGCTTGGTCCTTTAGGCGCACGAGCCTTATTACAGCACACCATCTGCCCTGGGCTGCTCAATCTGGAAATCATCAGCAACATATGATTTTCTCTCTTTATTTATAGCACAAATTACATTGTCTATTGGAGCAATTTTATTATTATTTTAATTTGTGTAGTTTACGGACTTGTGTTGAATAATACAATTCATCATTATCATATTCGATAGTGTTTTTAACAACTATGGAATGCTAAAATAAATCAGTCATATCATCAAAATTCTCTCTAACACTCTTGTCAAACTCAATCATCAAAGCTGCAACATTTTTGTTTTTCTTCAAGACTGGTAAATTAACTTAGTCTCTTCAAAACATTTAATTTTACTTTGGAAAAACAAAATCTACCTTAAAATTGTAGGTTTTTCATGAGTTAGAGAATGTACTTATAAATGCCCCTAAAGGTGGATATGAACTTGACAATGACCCTATAATTTTGGAGTCTTTTGTTGTTTGTCCATCTTTTATTTTTGAAATAAATCTGTCTTTTACTTTTTTATATTTTAATTAGATTATTTACTTCCTTCTTATTTTTTCAGTCCACATGGCGCAATATGGATGGTCCATGTGGAATCATTGATTGCCACATTAGCGTTTTAACAGAGGATATAGCAAAAGCACCAATGGATATATGAAGGTGTTACGAAAATGAACATTAGGTATGAGATTGAGGCAAAAATAAACATTAGGTAAGAGACTTAGATGAAAATAATTTCGTGTATGAAAGATTGAAACTTGGTAAATTTCAGAGTAGTAAAATGAAAACCCTTCTTTTTTTTTCAAGAAGATGACCATATGTATTATTATTGTTTGAGTTCTCTTTCTTCTCCGACAAAGCTACATATAACAATTTGATTGAACCATTTCTGGCTAGTGAATTATACTATATCAAATGCCAAAATCATTTTAAATAAAAAAATTCAAAAAAATTAAGTTATTTATTTGATTCGAGGAGAGGTAGGAGGGAAAGAGCAGAGGTAGGCCCCGAAATGTCTCTTTCTCTTTGATGAGGACAGGGATCAAAGTTGATTCTCAAAAAGGCTCTGAAATTTTGTTAAAAATTTATAATAATACGACTCCTTCTACAAATACAAAGCCTCAGCGTGTGCCTTCTTCAAACCCCACCACCAAAGCCTTTCTTCTCCAAAATCCAAAACCCAAGAATTCAACAGTGATGTCGACCCCTCTCGTACCAGACGCTTATGTTCTTGCAAGCCTAATGGAATCTCACTTCAAAGAACTCGATCTGATCCCGGAACTCTTTCTCCTGAACAACGAAGAAATGCTTTTCATACTGGAAAAGTGCTTCTCACACTCTTGCCTGGAGAAGGCTATTGCAGAAAAAATTGCTGTCGATGAAAGCGATTCAGCCGATCAGATTAACCCCAGTCCAGTTGACTCTGCTCTTCTCAAGGACTGTGTGGCGCAAGTTCGGGTGGCCAGCAAAAAACGCTTCATCAAAATTGTGCATTGCTACCTGCTCAAAGCAGGAAAGGAGAAAGAAGCTCAAGAATACCTCGAAAAGGTGAGCCCTGCATCCCGGGTCGATCACTTGGAGTCCGTCAAGATGTGGAATTACCTTACTCTGCCATTCCAGGTGCTCAAGGTAATGGAGGATATGGGATTAGGCACAAGCCCTTTGAGTTTCTCCATGCCTCCAGCACCACCTGAGGTTTTTCCCACTCCGGCACGGGGCTGGAGGCCCGGCCAGGCTACTGCCCACGGTAACATTCCGGGACCTCGTATTAGAGGCCTAATTGACAGCTTCATAAATAATTTCTGTAAGAACTTTGTTAATTTGAGTTTACTTGGGTAATAAGAAAAATTTGTCTGGATAAACGTACATGGTTAGTCAATAATTACGTTTATACATATGTTTTAGCATCGAGTAACAGAGCATGACAGGATGTAACATAGCATTGAGTAAACTGTGGCCAAAAGCATGATTTCTATCTTTGGAGTACTAGTTGGTGTGTTGTACACGGTCTTTGTAATTCTCTATGTATAGTAAAGAGACAGTTTCCTTCGTAAAATAAACGTAGTTAAGATTAATTGTATGAAATTCTTATGTATGTGATCTATTTTGTTGTTGAAAGATGAATACCTATGTTTCAATCTTGCTTCAGGATGAGGCTGGCATTGTGCCTGAGACCGAGGACAGACCTTCAACAGCCGTGGAGCCTAACTCTGTTGGACTAGTTCTTCACGTTGCTGAGGTTACAGACCGGTCTATGATGGATGCTGCAGCTGAAGACAAGAAGAAGAAGAAGAAGGGGGTTGATGGAAGTGGAGTCTCCTCTGGCACAGACTGAGCATTACACATTTATCCTGTTTTCTTTCTTTTTTCTTTGAAGACTACAATTGTCCTGGTTTTAATCTGGTTTGTTAATTTCAGATTTCTTACCGTGTTTCTGGCATTAGAACGATTCGATATACACTTGCGGTATATGTTAGGAGCTCAGTTTTGAGCCATGACTTCATGCATTCCTTTTGCATCTGTACTTCCTGCAAGGGATATGCATTCTTGTTTATGTTTGGACGTCGTTTTAGGATTGGCTGATCCTGATATGAATGCTGCCTTGACATAAACTGATGACCCACCACTTGCACAATTGCACTCTGTTTGGTAACTGAGAATGCATTATAAATTTCAGTGAGAACCAAGATTTACTATAAATTCTAGGAAGCATGATAAGTCCCAAACTAGTGCATGTACCTTATATATAGTCATTGGCTGCTTGATTCATGAAGTCCGTGGGTGTCATTGAATTCTGCATTTGAATACGGATGTATAATTCACACATCTGTATTATAGTGATAACATGATACATGTTTAGTTCTGTTTTCTCAGCATGATAATCAATCCTCTATAAATTTTGCCCTGTAAGATTATTTCCATTATCTCCTGAAATTGTCCTTACAAACTGGTACTAAGCACATATGCTACCGTCATGTGTTACTATGACTATAACATTAGATCCAATTCTATAGGAATCTAGTGCTGGTACTCTTGAATCTTTGCATGATCTTTATATTCCATGCTATAGTTGCATGTATGTATGGCATGCAAATCACTAATATGTATCTATTTGTGAAAACAGATTAAGCTACAAGGTAACAAGTTCCTTCCCTGATGGAATTTCTTACAACACCAAGCATATTTCCTAGGTTAGAAGGGTAGCAACCAGATTCATCCTCTTAGAACAAGTTGCAAGACTTCCTATATTTGACTGCTCACATATCAACCATACATTGTTGTTAACTGAAACCTTCCTTAAGCATATTCCCCTGCTCGTTTCTAAAACCCAGAAATCCCCATTCCTATAGCATATTGAGTCTATTTCAGAGATGGGATGAAGTTGAATGGTGCCTCTAGCTCACTAAATTGAACCCTCCTATAGCATATCGAGTCTATTTTTTGCAGAATCTGGAAAAATGCCATGGTTTTACACTGGTATAAAACCAGATTAAAGATACTGATTCGTATGAATCTTGCAGCATAATCTGTACATACTAAATACAACTGCTTATCAATATGCCACACAAATGTTCCAAATCGCCATATTTTATCATTTGCCTCGTTACTTTTGGAAAGTAGAATATCTAATATTCCAAAAGACAAATGCATGCCCGACACCCAAATCCTCTTTAGTTTAGTACAGAGTACAGACACTTTTGTTTACGTCTCAAACCCAAACATTCACGAACACAAGTACTTGCTTGTGTGACCCCATATTCTATTACCCAAAAAAGAAAGGAAAACTCTCGAGACAATTTGGGAAAACCCTTTTCCTGTCAGCTCACAAGGCAGTGACAGAAGCCAATGTTAGCAAATACTAGGGAATATGTATACCTTATTTGGAAAGGGGGACAAAGCACGTATTCTGTAATGAAAAAAAGGTTCTTTGCCTCTTTGATATCATATAGTTTTTCATTGAATAAAGCAAAATTCATTCCCAAAATAAGAAATCTAGACCCTACATCCATAATTTCATTGCTTGCTATATTCATAAATGTAAGAATATCCATCATAAGATTAATCATTTGAAACTTAATACAACTTTTTCATCAAGATTGAGTGATGGCAGAACTTACACATTAATATTGAATCTGCATTACTGTGAACAGTTATGAAGAACCCCCGAGTCTCTCAGATGATATCTGCAAACCATTAAAATCCCAAAATTTTTACGCCATTGCTAAACACAGAATCAAGTAAAATTCAACAGCATTGTCAGATTCAAATTGCCATGAATTTAATTCCATATCAAATTCTTCACCTCATTGTGGCAGCTGAAAACCACCATGATGCTGTGGTTGTTGTGTTCAATGTACCAGGCAATTATCATCAGCCATAGGAGAGCGCTAAAGATCTAGCTTTGGGCTGGCTGTCTACAAGTCCCAGAACGTGAAGCTGATGTCGAAAACCAACAGCACGCCAGCCATATTCATATTTCCATACGGAACAACATTTGTGGAGGGTGCGGCGTTTGAATGACTTTCAGAAAACAAAATTTCTTTAGGGATTATATCTAAAGGGGGCATTTCCGTGGTTTTCCAAAGTACAATGGGCAAAATTGAAATTTCAGAATCTTTGAGCTTCATTTTCGACTTTTTAGAAAAGTCATTATTTTCGAGAACCACCATGATCATTGAGTTATTATTGGTTCACTGGGTCTTTATTTGCATTTGGTTACCTTGGAATTATAAGTTATTCTTGGTGTTGTTCTTGTTAGATATGTAAATTTGCAACTTTTCAAGAATTATGTGTGGCTTCTTCGAAAATAGTATGTAGGTAACCTAGGTGCAGCTGCAAAGTTAAACACTTTACGTTATGTTCTTTTACATCGAGAATAATTGTTGTGATTTGATTATGTGGTATTTTGGATTAAGGGTCTGAGACCCACTTTGGATCGATTATTGGTTATGGTTGTGAACAAGGGGCCTGAAGACCATTAGAATTGTTGCTAGAGTGTAGTTGACTTATCTTATGCTTGTTGAATGATTGTGGAGTAAATTGTGTTTTCTGTACATGTCGATTTTAAGTTTAGACCCATTTTAAAAGGAGACTTCGCCCTTTTTTTCCGGTAGAAGTCCAACCCTAAGGTTGTTTTGGAATTATGACAAGAATGACATTTTTGTAATTTAGACCAACACCTGTAAGTTGTCGGATAGACACAAGGTTCATCGCGGATTCCAAAAAAAAATTATAGATGAATCCTGTCAATAATAATTTGAATTATTTTGTAAAATTTTCAACAAAGTCCCATTCCAAGTTATTAGGGCGCATTTTCAAATTTTGGAGAGCTAGCTAGACTGTTTATCCATAGACAATGCATGCATCACAGAGAGTGAGAGACCAACGTTTGTGCTATGTTATTGATGTTGAGCTTTGGTGTTTGCTTCTTTAGCCTTGGTGATGTGTCAAAATGCGCTTAGAAGCATGAAGGTTTGGGAGTTTATTTTTTTAGTTTTGACGAGCCGATATCCTCGACTTTCCAACCTAACAAACTCTCTCCCTTCTAGATATCTCATGTGAATGCTGAGTGAAGTTGTGCCAAGTCAAGTCGATTTGTGTAATAGGTGAAAAAAGGAAGAAGATTCCCTTCGCTTTTCCGTTTGACATGGATGCAATGCATATATAATTTGATCAACAAAACAAAATATTTCATTTCTAGCGGATGGCCACAGCTCTTAAAAATCCAACCGATTGGTCCACGTTGTGGGCATACTTAGGAATTTTAAATAATACGAAAGACCATAAAAGATAAGGCCAAGGTTGGCCCACGTTGATTCCTGGTTGAAAAGTTGGCTATTTGATGCTAACTTTATGCAGATCGATTTTGGTTTATAACTATTGGACAATTCATATATATATATATATATATATATATATATATACTTAGTTATGTGTTGAAAAGTTTCAAAATAAAGTGTTGGTCATATGCCATACTGATTTAGTCTGACTTATCCGTCATATGATACTTAGTTATGAGATTTTAATTTCAAAGTGTATTATAACTTAAATTAAAAGAATAAATATCTCACTTAATTCCAACATATTTGCTAGAATATAGAAGTTTTATTAAAGTCGAATAAAGAGGTTTGCATTTTTTGAGCTAGAGTGTTGAACCAAATTGGTCCAACTTTGACCCCAGCCATGACTTTGGATCAATTAACTGTTATGTTGCCTATCATGGAAACTCAACAACTATTCTGGTAAAAGCTCAGCTCAAGTAACTCATTTTTTTTCACTATTTCAGCTGCCATTGTTATTGAAGGAAACCATTTAACTGTTGCATCTGCTGCCTCAAAATTCTTTTAGAATCGAACCTTAAACCCCTTGGCTGACCAAAGCTAAGCTTGTGGGTTTTGCCATTCAATTTATTTATTATTTGGCTATTGTTATTATAAATAACAATATTTTTACTTTGGGAAGGCCTTTGGGTCTCCACTTGACTTGGTTTGAAATTGAGACCACTTGACTTAGCTTGGATTTGGAGACCACATCCAAATAGGTCCGTTTGATAACTATTTCAATTTTAGCTTTAGTTTTTAATTTTTTGTGTTAAAGTATAAAGGAGAAAGAGGGAGAATGGAATTGAGAATGAGAGTGAAGATGAGATTGAGAGGGAAGATGAGAGGAATGTGTAAAAAAAGTGAAAATAAAAACTGAAAACTGAAATCTATTTGAAATTAAATTCACTTTCAAGTTTTTGTTTTCACTTTTGTTACTCCTCTCTCTCACCCTCCCCTCTCATCCTCTATCTCAATCTCATCCCCACTTCCATTAACTCTCATTTTCCTCTATGCTCTAGCACACACAAAAAATGATTATCAAAAGGACAGTTAACATAATGCTAATATTAAGTCACTGTCTCACTCGAAGCTAAGTGGCTAAGCTGGGTCTATCTACAACCACCCTCCATGCCACAAGCATATTATTTTACCTTAATTAATTACAATTAGCTTCCCGCTTTTTATTTATTTAAGTTACAAGCTTCCCTCTTTTTATTGATTTGGTTGTTTGACCCCTTCACAGCTAGTTGTGTATGGTTTGGTGGATAAGCCCGATAGAAAGATGATGTGTCCTTGGTGGGGGTCTCAATCGGGTCTTTGCAAATTTTTCTTCGCAGCTAGCTGTATTTACTTCTGTCAAATTATTTCTAACCCAGTTTTTAATATGAGATTTAGTATTTCTAATCCAATATTTTATGGTTTTTCAATATATGATTTAGAGTTGGGGCTACCGAACAATTTAGAATTTATAGCTAATAGATTTTGTCTGTCATATCTTTGTTTGAAAATTAATTAAAATGTCGTTGAACTTGAACATTATTATACTGCCAAAAATTAATTAATTCCTCATGTGTGAGAGAAAAGCGATAATTGTATTCATAAATTAATCATAAATATCATCAGCCACAAGAACAAATACAAATACCTACAAAAAAATAATTCAAATATGACAATATAATAACCACATAAGGTTAATGTGTATATATATATAGAGTCAATTCAACCAAGAAGCAACTAATCTAAGTGGTTGTGCCTTGTGACGGCTATATATACATATACATGACAAAGCAAAGAAAACAAAGCCATAAATTTATTGCCCGACAGTTTTGGTCATTTCTACACATTTTATGGTCACAGCTTGTCCACTACTGTTTGCTCTAGAAAGAGAAAAATGAACTCCTTCTAAAATGAAGATGTGGCTCAATCAGAAATGGCCATACAATTAAAAAAAGGGAGATTCACTAATATACCCAATATGAGAGCCCAAATTATAAAAATACCCCATATGAAATGAATTTTATAAACACACCCAAAACTCATTTACAACATAACAAAGAGGCTTTAACTTCTTATAAATTACAAAACCACCATAAATTTCTTAAAACAAGCCCAACCCCAAAATCTCATAAAAATACCCAAAACACTCAATAGGGCATTAAAGTAATTTAATAATCAATATTAAATTCAATATGGCCAACTATCATTTTTGGGGTTTTTTTTGGGTTTGTTTATAGAAATTCAATGATTGAGGGTTTATCTATAATATTAGTGCTAAGAATGGGTATATCACTAAATATCTCTTAAAAAAAACATTAAACCCACCAACAGGACTCAGAAAAACTTCCCACCCCATAGCATTTTTCTTTGGCTTTTATAGGATGAGTAGAGTAAGAGAGACATTAGATTCTATTCGCTTCCTTCACTCAACGCGGTTTCTTTTATTTTTAATAAAATAATCATTATTTTTGGAGTTTATCATCCCAAATTTTCATCCCCCCAAATACAAAGTGAGAGACTGGCTAGCATCCCACCCCAATACACAATAGTCCCACCCCAATACAAAGTGAGAGACTGGCCCCACCCCACCCCAATACAAAGTTTTGTTTTTGTTTTTGTTTTTTTTATTTATAAGGGAAACGAAATAAACTACAATCGGAAACCACGCAGGCCCCACCAAAAGTTGATTAAATGGATCTTTCCATGGAAGAAAAATTTTACATTTATCTATAAATACGACTTTCAACATTCAAACACCCCTCACCTCTCTCTCCTCTCTCAGTCTCTAGTTTAGACTCACAGAGCTAAGCTATGACTATCTCGTCTCTTCTTCAAAACCCCTTTGAAATGATCACTTCTCCTTCTTCTTCTTCTTCTTTAGTCAATTTACTCCGTCTCCACCAACAAGAAGTCCGTTTCCACGCAATGAAAGCTGCAGAGGTTGAAGAAAGCAGTAACAAACAAGGGAATGGACCCCTTCTTGAAGAAAGGGTCCATTCACGCCCAATCAATCGACCCTCTTCACCTGCTTTCATGTCACCAAATGCCAGTCGACTCTACTCGGTTGCAGTAACGAACGGCACAAACAGTACCACAAGCTTGAGCCCAGAGACGGTCTTTTTGTCTTCGATCCCCGTCAACGGCCCGAGCCGAGAAGATGCAATCGCTGCAAGCTCGGCCTTCCGCTTGAACATGGACTTACACAGCAGCAACAGCAGCCACCAACTCGTGGGTTTCTGTTTTCTGCCGCCACCAGAGCTTGCCGACATGAACTACACGGCGAAGGGCATCCCGGACCTCAACTTGCCACCACCAGATGTCTCAGCTTCGGAGCTGGTCCTAATAATCAAGAACAGAAACATCTTCCATTTTATCAATGCTGTGTGTTCGTTGGTTGTCAAGCAAGAGGGCCTCGAGGGGCTGGAGGAGTATATGAAGAACAAGAGCAGCTTGACCGAACTCCAGCTTTGCAATCTGTATTCCATTCGGATCTGGAATATGCTGTCCCTCTCCCGGGGAGGTGAAATTGAGAAGGAGTTGGTGGAGGAAGGCCTAATTGAAGCCCTAATCCGCGTCGAGGATCTTCCATCGCCGCTGGAGCTGGTCCTTGCTCCGCCAGATCCCTATAAGGCCTCCGCCAACCAAGATGCTAGGATTGATTACAAGTACAAGCAAGCATCAACTTGGTTCGACGACAACAAAGAGACTTTGGTATTTATAAATTATTTATGCATCCAACTCTCTCAGGCTGCCGTCTTTGTTTTACCTTTGATTATTATTACCGATTTTTATTATACATCCCATATTTGTTTGTTAAACCCAATTTTCAGTCCTCGGATGCTCGCAATTATGATGTTGTTGGTGATGAGGAAGAGGACCAGGGCAGCGGTAATTATGATGTTGATGAGGAGGAGGAGGAGGAGGACGAGAGCAGCGGTGATGAGGCTGATCATCATCAGGACCAGAAGCGCAAGGCGGTGGCTGTTATGGACGACCAGGATCCGTATGATCAGCATCTGCAGAGGAAGAAGGCCAGGCACGGTGGAGCTCTTCGTATTGACGAGCCCGCCAATCCATGAATCTGAAGCTACAGATGAGAGGACTCATCATCATCAGCCTCAACCCACCAGTCCAAATGCCCCATCCATCCATCCACTTTTTTCTTTAATTTTTGTGTGCAATTATACATACACGAATGTTTGACTTTATTTATACATAAATAAGACGCTGTTGGTCTGGATGCAGGCTGGAACCTGGAAGTGTTTCTTTCGGGTATTATCATGTACGGATGTTCTGGTGTTGTGCTATCAGAGACTTTAGTCAAATTGTACTGCTTATATATGTTGATCCTTTTTGGAAATATGGACCACTTTTCTTCTTTTTTGCAAAGGAAGTATATATGGACCAATTAATCATGTCATGTAGCTGTACACAGTGGCATGAAATTAACTATTTTGAAGAAAAAGATGCTAAAATTGATGAAGGGTGGTCTTTTGGTTGCAAAAGGTTTACAATACCAGTGACCAAAGTTTGTCCTTGCAATGTGAGTTTGGGCAACCACGTTTTTTATTTCTTCAATTAAAGCAGCGGATGAATTAATCTAATTTCTTCATGGTGTATTTAATTGTTGATTAATGACTTGAAAGTAGTTGAGCAAAATCCTTGGGCAAACAAAGTCAAAAGTACAAGACACACGAATGAAGGCCGCGATATATATGTCATTGGAATTCTTTTGAAATGTTAAAAATTACATGAATGTGGTCCTTTTTTTGAAATGTTATACGTTACATGAATGTGCATCAAAATTCATCTCCATCTCCATGTCCTAATCAACCATGACAGTAGAGATTGCATATGGTCGTATGCTTGCTTTCATTTATTTTAGAGAAATATTAAAATATAGTTTACTTGTAAGGTGCTCTTAAATAGTCCCTCTATTAAAAAACTCTCTGTGTGTGTTTTGTGGTACTTTTTGAACTTGCAGGTTTTTGGAGTATTGTGTCGGGAAAGAGAGAGAGAAATAGAGAAAGAAGAAAAAAGAAAGAGAGAAGGGAAGGAATAATTTTGATTGATTTGATGATTATATCTTTGGATTTAACTGTTTTTTTTTACAAAAGGATTATTTAAGAGCATTTATATTAACATTAAGGACCATGAGTGATACAAAAAAATTTTAAGGATGTAATCTGATAGTTTCACAAACATCAAGGACGTTTTGTGGTTAAAAACCTTTTAACTAATGACATGATTCGGAACTAGGATGCCTAATAGCTCGTCGCAGTCTCCTGCCGCTTTTGCTGATGTGAACAAGCAGGTTTGCTTTCATTCTATGTGGGAGCCGATCCGGTGAGTTGTTGACCCCGTTTGCTAAATGGTCAATTATCAACAGGTGACGACACGTGTGTATTTAGATGCACAAGCTACATGAAATAAAAGAAAAATAATAATCTAAAATTGTAAACCATACATCGGACTTTCGACAAAAAAAAGAAAAAAGAGAAAAAAAATGAACTCTCACTTCAAAGTCCAATTTGGTCAACTGAGGGCCACCTTTTTTATTCCAATGTCAACACACAATGGCGGTGACGGTAGAAAGGACCGTTTGATAACTACAAACAGAATCTTTGCCTTCCCAATCAATCACCTGTCCCACCATGCATCATGCATTCTGGTTGGTATCTATTAGCAACTAATTAGCATTATCTTAGAGCGAGTTTGAGAATTATTTAAATTCTAATTTTTAGTTTCTATTCTTTCGTTTTTTTGCTAGAATATAGATAAAAAAGAGAGAGAATTGAAATGAGAATGAGATTAAAGGAGAGATATTAACTTTCGTCGTAAGCACTACAAAAAACTTCTAAGATTAATTTATGGAGAGATATTGACATTCGTCGTCCTAATTTGATGGAGTGTGAGTCATATATCAAGAAGTTTATAACATAATTGCGCAAAACATCATCCATCTATGCTCTTGGTGACAGACAAATTAATTGAGAATCAAGTGTCACAAAATTGTCTTTGAAACTGAAATTTAGATAGGGGTTGATAAATTCATCAGACTGAATCCATACGAGACCAAATGCCCCCCCTGTGCCTGTACAGATGATGTTGAATTTGTCTTGGACTGATTTGCATGAATTCTGCCTGCTGATTGATGACTTTTGACAAATGGTTGCTGGTCATGATGTTAAGCTGGTATATTTTATTATCCGATAAGTGTCAACAAATTAGCATAGATGGATGATGTGAGAGGCGCTAAGCAAGTTGTACTCTTACAATTTGAAATTATAAATAATAAAAACATTGTTAAAGAAAATTATATATAAAAAAACATCCAGTTTCATCATCAACACCACCATGCATTTTTGGTTGCTATATTTTATCGACAACTAATCGATCAGCATTATATTACTGATTATTATAAATAAATGAAATGGAACCAAAGCAAATTTCAACTGTTTGTTTTTGTTTCTTCAGTTTTCTTTGCCTAAAATGATAATAATAGCAGAAATTCTTGTCGGTGGTTTCAACTTTGTTCTGACCTGATGCTGAACCAAATCAACAGCCAAACCCATTCTCCTTCCTTTCTATGACAGCTGTCTATATATTCCGTGAGTTTCCGTGAGATGTGAGATGTGAGTCGAAGCAAAGATTTTGCTTCCCTTCTATGACAGCTGTCTGTATATTACGCACTCACTCGTATCTCACTAAATTCCTTTTTTCCTATTACGATTTTACCCTCCGCAGCCCAATGCATTAGCCTCTCCAGACTGGCTAGCATCCTCCCCCTATATATAATCCCAAATTCTCCCTGTCCTCCACAAATCTAAGGTTCTTTTGCCCAGTTAGGAACTGACGCTCGTCTTCTGGGGCGGCGTCCTAGCTTACTTTGTCCTAGCTGGTTGGTGGTTTTTTTGGGTCAGGCTCGTGTAGTTGGCCTAATACTCCCTGGGGTTTTATAGTTGTTAGCTTGGTTTCTGGTTAAGTTGGTGCTGTTTCTTGGTTGTATTTGGGCTGTGCCCATCTTTTCCCTTTCGTTTAATGAAAGTGCGTTTCGACCAAAAAAGAAAAAGAAAAAGGTCTCATCTTTCTCCTTCCCTTCATCCCGACATTATTCATCCCTTGAAGCAACTATGTCGTCGTCTTCTCCAATTGCTCCCTCTACTTGCCACAACTTGGCCGAAACGCTACTCAAAGAACTCCGATATGATCCCCTTGCCCTCTACCCCGAAATGAACCATGACCTCGTAGCGGGTAACCCTGTTGCCCGTGCACCCGAACCTTTGGCCGCAGCCTTCGGACCCAAGTCAAAAACCGGTGACCCGGTGGACCGTAGTGCCAAAACAACCAGATACTACATGGTCCTCCTGACCGCCGGAGACAAGGCTCTTAGCCCAGAAAGCATCCTAGTGATGGACGTCACCGACCCGATTCCGAAGGGCTGTATGGTCAAAGCTCGCGCCTTTTGCTCCGGTGTCGCCTTCAACTTCAACTTCAATTTCTCGGCGGCGGACAAGTTCGACTTCATGAAACTTTGCGTGATATCGAGTGATGATGGAGACCGCATGATGATTGATCTGGATTGGGTCAGTAACTCCGAAATGCCCGACCCGAACATCATACACAGCCTGGCGAGTTCGGCAGCGATGAAGGCACTGGTGTCGTCGGCGAAGGAGATCAACCTCGCCGAATTTGTGGGTCGTGTGGGTGACTACGTGGCCACCAAATTCGGCGAGGAGAAGAAAACCGAGTACCTGAAGATGTTGACTTCCAGTGGACTCGGAAGTTTGGACTCGGTGGAGATATGGCACATGTTGACTCTGCAAGACCGAGTTATGGAGGCAGTGATGGAAAGCGTCCGAGTCGGGCTGTTTATGAAAATGCCCATAACCATTGACATGCCAATGCCATCCACCGCCTCCATAACCCACCCAACTCCGCGGGCATTGGGGTGGAAGGTGGGTTGCTCTTCAGCTAAAGGGTTGAAGCACAGGCCTTGCATTCCAGACCTCAACCAAGTTGCAGTGGACCTACTGGTATATATATGTTCTCTGTTTTTTTGTGTAAACATATATACATTTTTGCATATGAATCCTTATGGCATGATAATTTCAGGAGGAGGAGGAGGAGGAGACTGATAAAAGTAGTGTTGTTGGTGAGGTGGAGGGATGCAATGCCAAGAAAAGGAAGGCGGAGGAAGATGCTGGAGAGGAAGCGCAGGCTGAGGTGCCCAAAACAGCTGACTGATGCCACCTTGATGAGTTTGATGGTTTAATTTTGCAGTTGCTCACTAGCAGTAAATAAGCTGAGCAGCTTAGTGTTATATGTTTGGATATTTTATAAAGAATAGCTGAGCAGATTTTCGGTGTGCCACTCACTTGTTACTTGCATATTGAATGGTTTTGTTATGAGGTTGACGATGAAACAATAACTTTTTGAGTAATAATGGGAGGAAAATCACATTTTGTATCACGTTTGAATATAAAATAATGAGGGATCCGACACCGCTTCCCTCTATCCCTCTTCCTCTCCTCTCCCCATCACCGGCGCTTTGCTGGACCTCTGCCGTCGATCCACCACCACTCCACTCCCTCCTCCTTTGAGATGATGTCTACAGTCTTTGGTCAACGGTAGTTGAGGGGTCATAACACTGCTCCTTGCATCACCTGCCCCGACCACCTCCATATATAACCTCTCATAGAAGGACCATTATACCGCGATGATGTTGATCATGATATGGGTCTTGATCAAGCAGATCTGCAGTTGTTATTATATGTGTGCTGACCAAAAAGCCAATGAGGAGGGAGTCTTGTGGCGGCGAAGAGGCGATGGATCCATCGGTTGCATAGGCCGGCAGAGTGCCGAGGATGGGGAGGAGATGAAGGAGGGAGATATGGAATTGGGGGAGGTCGACAGACAACGTGAAAACTGAAGAGTCTCTGATTCAGTAGGGTTAGGTTTTTTTAATTAATGAAGATAATAAGAAATTGATATGTCAAAAAATAAATAAATAAATAAATAAATATATATATATATACATATAATTTTAATGAGTTGGATTGGATGTCCACCCATGTGAATATGATATGCCAATATTGCTTGTCTCATGCTCCTCATCTTTGTTATTGTCTGCACATAAACGAGTCTCTTAAAATATTATGCCGTTATAATAATTCTGTGATCTTCTTCCACACAAACACACACAAAAACAAAAAATATATATATATATATATATATGAACCACAAAATATCCTTTTGCAAAGGGCGAGCTACCTTTGCAGCACACTCAAAAGAATGAAGTAATCAAGATGAAGGAAGGTGAAGAAAAAAGAAGAAGAAAAGAAGCAGGAAGCAGGAAGCAGGAAGCAGGAAGCAGGAAGCAGGAAGCAGGATGTTTTTCTTTTTAAGAGATTCAAATTTTATGATATGATAAAAGGACAACCATCTCTCAACCAGCGCTCCAGCGAAGCGAGTTGTGAGCTTTGTTTCTTATTCTTAGAGTATTTATACAAGGGATTTCTCAACCACCAAAAAATTTATATTATTATCACTGCTTGTATATTTTCCATGAGCTTTCAAATTAATTATCGCTGGTCCCCCAATAATTTTGTGACTTTTGTCGATACGTAACAAAATGTCAAAAAACAAAACAGAAAAGTCAACAAAAGTCGCTCTCTAAATAAAAATAATAGAGGAAGGCTACTTTTCAATTGCGTGACAAGACAAGCTGGCCCTCCTCTAACTTTTATCAAAGAAAAATAAAATCTCCAACAAGTCCTTTTATATTTGAATGGCCAATATCAAATAAGATCTGACCTGTACCACGTTTCGCGGCACAATCTCAGCCGTCAATTACGTGTTCGGTAGGTAGCCGCTGGTTGAAGAAAACGATGGGGGGGGGGTTGGATTGACAAGGACAGAAAGCATTAGATCCACCGCCACTTAATTGTCTCCTTCACAAAGCGAATCGGTCCAGCCTGGCTGCCGACTCTGTGGAAATTGCCTTCAGACCCAGCGGAAACTTCTGAGTAAGTCATGCTTCCCAAACGGTTGACTCAATTTTCGCATATTTATTTAGATTAGATTTGGATTTTCAAGTACATCAGTTGAGGGTTTTCTCTGGGAAACTTTATGTTCAATTTCGAATTCAGCTGTTCATTAATTGTCCTGAAATTTCTAGCATGCCAAGCTCTTCTAAATCCCGAGTGATACTATCGATTGGCAATCATCATGACCAACCCGATCATTTCAGGAAGGATCGCTTCATGGATGATGCTAATGGTTCATGCAAAGGGAAGAATTTAGAATGTGTATCAGGTTGTAGCGAAAGGAATTTGAGGAGAAAATTGGATGATGAGGATGATGGGATAACTTGTTCACAAGATGCTTGTTATGCAGGTTACTAATCAATTTGTCAATTTGATGTCTATGTCTCTGTTTCATGGTATATGGTATGGTATGGTGAGTTTTCATTTTGGGAGCTGAAATATATTTGACATAGGTCTCCTTTATAGGTAGCCAAAGTAAGGCACAAATTACAACCAGCAAGTGTGTGGAAGTTGAGGTTTCAACAGGCTCAAGTTCAAGTTCAAGTTCAGTAGATATTGCAATTGAATCTTCCAACCATATTTCTTTAGGTGCTCATGAGGATGCCCCTCTGTCTACCCAAGGAAGACTAGAGAGCAGGGATGATCTTCATGATCTTCATGATGTTCAGAATATAAGTACTATCTCAGGTATCTCAAGCTTTGCGCCACAATATATAAATGTTTTCAGCCCGTCCACGCATTGTCAAATGGTTTTGGGTTGGATGCTTTTACTTTAAAATGGTGTCAGAGCAGATGAATCCACATGTAAGGCCCTGTGGCCGCATATGCTTCATGTCAAGCAATATAATTAACGACATGTTTCGTTTAGTCCCGTTGCACGTTAGGATCGTGTTGGCTAGTATAGAATTCCACAGCGGGAAAATAGAGCCTCCCATAACGAGATATAACATCTTAAGTCTCTCCACCTATTGTCATGTGATTTTTGGGCGGATTGTCTAATTTTAACATGGTATCATATTGTGCAATCTGCATGTAATACCGTAGGCCTGCATCGGCTTCACGTCAATCAATAAAGTTGACGATGTGTTCGCCTCTGTCCCGCCATACGTGAAAGTTGTGTTTGTGAATATAAAATTTCACGTCGTGAATTCTAAGCATTATACTCAAAATGTTAAGCCTCTATGGTATCAGAGGGGGCTATTCACAAGTAAGGTCATATGGCCACATATGCTTCCCGTCAGTTAACGTAATTGATGACGTGGTAACCTTACATTCCCGTCAGTTAACGTAATTGATGACATGGTAACCTTAGTCCTGCCTTATGTTGGGGCGTGCTTGTGTGTGTAAAATTGCACATTGGGAATTTAAGACATATTTTGCAATATATCACTTCTTCACTCATTGCCATTTGGTTTTGGGTTGTATGCTCAAACTTCTATGTATGTGCTCCATTCTGTCTCTTCTATCCTAGAAAATTAACGCGTGCCTATTGGGTTGAAATCCTCTTCTCATCATTTATTTGTTGAAGTGCATAATTCTTAGCGAGGACTATTGCAGTTTAGTGAACAAGTGGTGAATTTCTTATTTCTCTTTTCAGGGAGTAATGTCAGGGAAGGTGGCTGTGTAGAGAGAGCAAGCAACAGCCTATCATCGGATAGGACAAATAAGGTCTGTTCTCGTGTTTATAGTCATTCTTCAAAACAATCCACTTCAATTTAGTTCAGTATTTTGCTCTTCGTTATATAACTAATTTTTCTGCTTGCTTCCTTTGTAATCTCTCCTTAGGGAAGTTACACGAGTACAAAACTAACACAAGCATCTAAGATGCAATGGCCAAAGTGGACAGTGTCTCACATGTTGAGTTTGTCGAGCATGGAGAAAGTGATGAATTATTACCGTGTTTTGAATTTGGCCGATAACTTGAAAGATGAGGTGAGGGGGGTGATCTTCAGTTTGTTCTTCAGTTTTATGTTACGTAATAAGTAGGGATGAAGGTAAACGTACTGTCATGAAAATCAAGTACATAACAGGCCGCGTATCCTTGCAGGATCTACGTTGTTTCTTGGAGGAACAGCTTTCCAAGGAGAAAGCTGGGTTGTCAGAGACAACCATTATGAACCGTTTAAGAACAAGACTCCATGTATCGGAAACAGTGCGCGAACCCGATAGTTGCAGCATTTGCATGGTATGCTATAATGTTCTATGATAAACTGTCCCAACTCCGCCCTTATTTTGTTTTCTTGCAGCATTTGCTCATCTTTTGTTTCACTGCAGATTGAATATAAGGACCAAGACAAGATTGCGAGTTTATATTACTGCTCTCATGAATATCATTCCGACTGCATAAAGGAGTGGCTTCTGAAGAACAACCTTTGTCCGATGTGTAGGGCACTAGCTATAATCCCAGAAGACTACCCCTGTTGGGATGGTGATGTGCGGTTACACCAAGCATTCTTTGTGCATTTGAAGCTTTCTGCTTGAAAAAGGTTATTCTTTTGTCCTTTGTTTTGTTAAGCCACATTTACAGAAAATATTCTGTTGATATATATTTTTTGTGAGTGTTCATACTTGCTCACTGTTCGTTATTTACTTTGGTTTAAAACTACAGGCTTCTGGGTTTAGGAGCTTTACAAATAAAGGGGTTGCTGGCTTTGATTCGATATGGTCTTTATAGAAACATGAAGATAATGGTAATATCAGAGTACGCTACTTAAAAAAGACCTTGAGCCTTTGAGAATCCTAATCAGCCTGTACCCGTCGGGCTTTGGAGTGTTTCTTCGAGTCAAACTCATCCAACTTTATTGAAGTAATTACAGAAAATAGAACGTAATATATCTTGTTTAAATGAAATAGTTATCGGTATGTGTGGCAAGTTGTGTTTTGTGCGTTGTTTGTGTGCTCTGTTTCTGGGTTGTGTTATTTTTATTTCTTTTCGTTTGGATTTTGAGTTGATTTGTAATAAAGAACTATCATTCTCTGAAGAGAATTCAGAATCGATCATGCAGCTTGGCATTCTAGCATTTGATGATCCCAAAAGAATAGCTGTGTAATGGATATAATTACCCAGTTAACAGAGTTGCATGAGTAAACACGAATAAAAATACAAAATACCATTACTGCTACATGTGGACATCCATTTCTTCTTTAATGATAGTATGCATGAAAAAAGTTAACAAGTTCTAACCGAAAGAAAATTCACCTAACTCGAAAACAGATAACTTAGCCTTGATGAAGTGAACTATCAAAGATAAAAAAAAAGCCAGACGTTTTTGTTGGTGGTCTCTCAGAATGTGATTCGCATCACATGGTGGAACTAGTCTCTGCTTTGTAAAGGTCACATCCCCATCATCAAAATCTTGGAGCTGCACCAAAACAGAATATACAAGTATCAATAAGTATCTTACCTGAAGTAAACTAGTTTTTTTAAAACACTGTGTAGCATATCCCATTCAAATAAAATCCCAAAAGTTTGGCTCTCATCTTCCTATTCATTAAAAAGAACCGGCAATAATCATCTTGCGTTCTTTTTAGGAACACCTCAGTGACAAGATCCATGACATGAGCCCATAAACTTTATGAATACTATAAAACAGCATTGACCATTAACAATACTTTTCTGACTGGTATCTAAAGCCTACCTCCACCAATTGTTGCTTCTGGCAACCGCTCAATTGAATACTTGTGTTGAGTGATGTACATGATTGGCACACCAGGGATCTGCACTTAAACAAGCAAAGTTACGCAGTTGTTACACATTAACGTCTTAATGTCACATAACATTGTGCTATTCCACCTTTCGGATCCTTCGCTTTAAATCTCGATCGCACGTAGCAACAATGTAGCATTTGTGCTGTACCCAACAAAACAAGGTGCTCAGTCAATATCAGAAAATTCTCATAAGCTGCAACAGAAATCACCAAAACACCACAATCTGGCCAGTAACTTTGCCAGTCTGTTAACAGAAAGAATATACAAAACAGATAATGCACAACCACTCTCTGCAATGGACAAACTTTGAAATTATAGTCTGAAGTGAACTGTCTCAGGAGAGAAAATATGCATTTTCTTTTTTCTTCAAAAGCCACCTGATTTCTTGTTGATGAGATTTACTATCCCAATTCTAAACATTACATGCAGACTGTGGTCGTTTGCTTAAGTACAACATAAACATAGAAGAATGTGAATGAAACGTGCGACAGTCCAGACACACTGTAGCAAATAACTATAATACAAATTTTAACATTCATGCAGTAGCAAAGATCCACCATTTTAGTTATAAAGCAATATCCATAGTTCAATGCCTTCTCAGAAGGGTTGGATGCAATTTGTGGCTTTTTTCCAACCCGAATTTTTTTATACTTAATTAGAACAAACTGGGAGACTGTTGTTTGCAAAAGGAGAACAGGGTATCTGTTCGCATGGGCAGAATCTTGTGCCTCTCAAATTCCAAAGGTTGAGCTACGACTACTTGGCAAGGAAAAATCAAGCACACTTCAGCAAGTCTAGGCAGCAACTTACTAATTATACTACAAATTGGAAAATTAATTGTACAGTAGAAGATAGGCTATAAAGCCTCTATACTTCACCCTCCCAACTCCCCCTACCCCCAAATGAAAAGAGAGGGGGTAAAGACTCCAAAAAACAAACCGGGAAAGTGCAGTTACTTGGTGTAAATCATACCTGAGTAACCCTTTCAACGAGACAGTCATCAGCGTAGGTTCCTTTATGAGTGCAGGGTAGTCTCTCAAAACGAGGATCCTTGGCAATCCTGTCAGGATACAATAATTTCTTTGTTAGAAACACTATTTTTGTTACTTCAAGCAAACAAATTATCAAGGCTAATGAGTGAAGCTGGAGTCAACTCATTGGTTAGAACTCAACCAACAGAAAAAAGAAAAGAAAAGAAGAAAAACCACAATCGAACAAAGAGAATATGTAAAAACAAACAGTAAAAAACTGCTAGACAGCACATGAAGAGGGATTGTAGTGCAAGACATGCATCCGTGCATCCACCAATTGCAAACCATTTTGCCATGAAATATATTAGTAGAGAACATGGGAAAATACCTCAGAGCCACACGATATTTCTGACCTAACTTCTCAAGCTCTGCCATTACACAATCCGTGATACAAGGAGTGCCTATAAATTCAAAAGATATGCAAGTTGTTATAAAACAGAGGAGAAACTGAATGATGGAACACTCCCCAGCATTCATTGTACAGAAAACCAAAATGATACTTTGGTGACCATTATAAAACACCAACAGAGGAGTGTCTGCAATCAAGACGAGGTACTGATTTCTTGTATTGAAATTCAAGATTCAAAATCAGTTCCCCAAAAACATTTAATACATAAAAGTGAATAAACGAGGTGATTGAAGACTCACACTTTGCGTATAGGCAATCCATCATTGCCTTCTCCAAATCCAACTGCATAAAGTGAAAGGGAAAAACATAAGTCAAACTATGCCCAATACATGCAGCTTCTAACTAAAGTTTTGGCTCATCAAAAAGAACAAAATGAGCTTAAACTTATCAAAGAGTACACCATGCATCAAGATTTTTCAACCATAACTATAGAGATGCTTAAGATGTTTCATTCACTAATCAAACAAAATTCCAGGTAAGACGGCTATATGCATAGTATTGAACACTCACCTTATTCTGAATTGAGAAATTGATGAAGTTAGTATCGACCAAAACCCGGTAAGGCGGCCCCAACGCAGTGTTGTATTTGAAGAAAAGCGCCGACGAAACATTTGGCCTAAATTACAAAGACAATATAATTATGCCCAAACCAATAAACAAAAGCAACAAATTGAAATAGACTTGATAAAAATACTTACACATTTCTTGGTAGCTTTTCTTTGGTGAGATCTTTCTTGTTTGGGTTCAAAACCTCCTCTTTGTAGCTGAATTTAAAACATACAACAAAAAAGAATGAACTTATAAAGTTTCCTATGAAGAAAATAGAAGAAATAAACACAAATAAGAAAGATTTTATCAAAAGGCTCACCTTTTAATTGCTTTGGAGGTAACCACCTTCTTCATGACTGCGAACTTAGGGCCTTTTCGTGCCCTTCCCATCTCTTTGTTGATCACAGAGCAAAACAAGCTTGCAAATTTGGGATTGCGCAGAACCCTAAAACCTTTTACTTTGTCCCCAGTAAACCCTACGAAAACCAACAAATAGAGAGAGAGCTCAACTTCTCACTTGGGTCGGTTAGTCTGGCTGGGCAGACAGGAAGAAGGAAAAGACGACGACAATAATTGCTTTAGCAGCAGTTTGGGCTATGAATCTGTAACAGGCCTGGTTGAGTCCAGGCCCAAGACTACCTTGGGTTTTAGAGCTAAACATTTTTTTACAGGCTTTGGATTACATTGTTTGGTCAACATATTTGACTGTGAGAATTTACAAATCCCCACCGTTAGATCGAAATTCAATGATTGACTTGAAGCCAAGGATCGCCTTCATCTTCCAATGGTGATATTAGTTTAGTCAGTGGGCAGTTCTTCTTTTTGTTTTCTGACAGTAATTTTCTTAATTTGATCTAATGGTATATGACTAAAATTTTGGTCGTTTTGTAAGGAAATTTGTAGTTTAAGTGATTAAAAAGATCAGTGCGATCGAGATTCGAAAACAACAAGACAAATAGAAGATATCTATTATTGTTTTAGAAAATCATACTCTAAAGATTGTACTATAGTAATAACTTTATATAAGATGATAAGCTTAAGATTTTGACATCATAAACTTTTATTATAATTAAAAACGATGAAAGAGCATTACTGCTTTATTTTACTTATTTTAAGCCTTCTGATAGTCAGGGCTGAAGTTACACACTGCCTCGAATTTGAGAACTATAGCCACTCCTGTCATCGTTGAACTTATCATAGAGCATGACACCTCCATACTTGGCAGATCCCTTAACAAAAGGCAACACTTGGTTTTTCAGATCATTTGGATTCACAAAGCCACTACCAGCAGCTTGACTGGAAGCCGGAAGCCCGACGAAGAACTGGCCGGCTTTTATGGAGGAGGTCCATTTGTTCCATGAGTTCTTGAAGGCATTGGGGTTGCTGGTGGTAAATTCACATTGAGGGTTGTTGTAGAATTGAACCCAAACATAGTCAAAGAGGCCAGTGGACAAAGCACCATTGAGATACTGGTCAGGAAATGGGCATTGTGGTGCTGCACTTAAGTAGACCTTTTTGCCTCTTTTGCTGTAGTCAGACAACCTCCTAGCAAGTGCATCATAGAAAGGTCCACCTTTCTCGATGTCGAAATCTATGCCGTCCAAAACGGCGTTGCCTAGAGGCCTTGAGTTTGATTGGCCCCCTAAGAAGTTGTTCCATAGGTAGTCTGCTACACTGTTAGCATCAGCATCAGATGACAGTCCATAGTTTCCTGCACCGCCACCCATCGAAAGCATGACCTTGATACCTTTGCTTTGGCAGTTTTTGATGCCAGCCCCCTCTCCTTGGCAGCCGTTTGATGCTGGGTTACAGTGGCCAGCTAAGTTGATTTCAGGTCTTTGGCCATTGCCAAATTTTGAGAGAAATCCTATGTTTACAATTTGATATTTTCCAGTGTTACATGTGTCTGTGAGTGAGCCTTCACCACCATTTTGACCCCAATAAACCACAACGACCCCGGCATAGGATTGGGAAAACAAGGCTGGGAGAAGTAGTAGGAAGATAGTGAGAGCTTGAGAACAAAACTTGGTGAACAAGGCAGCCATAGTTGTTGTGTTATGAGTTTGATGCCAAAGGCTCATGCGGGATTAATCTATTTATAGACTCTGTAGGATCTGAGTTTGGGAAGATATTTGGAGCTTTGTTTCTTAGTCAATTTTGTGCACACGGGTTTATTGTGTTCTTGCCAAAATATAAAATAATTACTAAGGAGAAAAGTATACAAAGTTCATGTTTGTATACTTTCCTCCTTAGTTGTGTATTGGATAACACTATTCAGACATAGAAGGGTTTTGGAGGTTGATCCCCATTATGCCAAACTAAAAAGTTATCCTAGCTAGTTGTAAACAAAAGCAAGGTTGAATTACTAAACATATTGAGATGGATTGTCACTTTGTCAAAACATATTTGGCAATTGCCACTGCAATATTTATTTTGGCCCCAATAACGGAGTTTGCATGATGTAGAATTTTCCATCCAAACAAAACAATGTGAACAGAGCATGTGCTTGACTTCAAGTCAAGCAAGCATACAGTAATTGCTAGGAACCACCTAGCTAGCTGGTGGTGAGTGATTCTTTCGTCCTTTACCAAATTTTTCCACAGATTGAAGTAAATGGACATTGGACACAGTTTTTGGCTTTACTAGTCAAGAGTGCTAAGACGTGCCTGCTCGGCTACTAGGGGATAGAATATCAACAGGAACCGGATAAGATATGCTTTTGTTTTGGGTCTGAGGATAAGACATGCTTAGACTTGAAGTCAAGAGCGAACCACTGGCTAAACTAAACTACTATCTTCGTGTTCTTGTTGTTTCTATAGGTTATTAGGATCGATTTTTAAGTTTTGAAACTCAATCCAAAACCTAGAAATTTCCCCTTTTTTGATTGATTTTCCGGCCACTTCCCGGTCAAATTGGGGGTTGGCTCAGTTGTAAAAGTTGATCCCCTAGGTGAGCTCAATTGTGGTATAGGTCTTGACCGGCGGTTTGGAGATTTGGAGACAAATTTCCTGTTTTGGTATGTAGTTGATCTCCTCAACATCATCTCATGTTACAATTATATGTTCCTGTCTTACATGTGTTTGTCAGTGTGCCATCCTCGTTATGTTGGCTCCAATAAATCATAATGCGCCCGGCACATGATTTGGAGACCCAAAAAGGGAGAATCAGCAGGAAGACAATGAGAACTTGATGAGAAGAAAACTTGGTGAACATGGCAACCATAGTTGTTGTAATTATGAGTAATGTGTTTGGTTGATACTTGGTGGTACCTATATATGGCTACGGGACTAGTCTATTTATAGACTTGCAAATGAGTTGTGGGAGATATTTTGAAACCTCTTTCTTCTTTCTTAGTCAATATTGTGAACATGCATGGAATTTACTGGCGAGTTGCAACAAAACTCTAGGCATTTTAAAATTTTCCTACAAATTTTAATTTGTGATAATATGGATGGGGAATGAATGACAAGATAATATCTCAATCACTGAGATAAGTATTTGAAGCAGGATATAGAAAAATATAGACGGTTTGGATCTTCAAACCACAAGGTATGGTAAGTGCGAAGAGTGGTTTAATTGAACACAGTGGTTCGTCCTCGCACGAAACTTTGCATAAAGGAGATGACGATTGACTTTACTTGAAGTCAAGCGTGCTGAACTGGGGAATGGACTATCAGCAGATGGTTACACTTGAAGTAAAGCCAAACTATGTTTATGTGTCCATGGACATATGCATACGACAGATCCCATGGTCTATCTACAACTTTAGTATGGAAAGACAAACCCGTCAAATCCAAAGGGTTAGAAAGTTGAAATGGCTGTGTGGCATGTGAACCACCTAGTGGTTGCATTAATTTATGTGAAAGGAATGGTACTGATTACTGATGCGGAAGCTACAACATGTGAGCTTTTGTCATCGATGGTAACATACAATATTAATGAAAATAATCGAAGACGGTTTTCTAAAAAAACTTCATATATGGGTGGAAATAAATAATAAACAATTTAACAACACATCTATGTCTCTCAGTATTGATTACTGATGTGGAAGCTACAACATGTGAGCTTTTGTCCTCGATCGTTTACATAACTTTGCCACAGACTCAAGTCATCGTGCTAAGCCGTATCTACTAGGCTACTAGGAAACATAACAGACAATATTAACGAAAGGGGTCGAAGATGGTTTTCAAAAAAAAATTCATATATGGATGGAAAGAAATAATAAATAATTTAACAACATATCTATGTCTCTCAGTACTTGTTACTGATGTGGAAGCTACAACATGTGAGCTTTTGTCCTCGATCCTTTACATAACTTTGCCACAGACTCAAGTCATCGTGCTAAGCCGTATCTACTAGGCTACTAGGAAACATAACAGACAATATTAATGAAAGGGATCGAAGGTGGTTTTATGAAAAAACTTCATATATGGATGGAAAGAAATAATAAACAATTTAACAACATATCTATATCTCTCAGTACTGATTACTGATGTGGAAGCTACAACATGTGAGCTTTTGTCCTCGATCCTTTACATAACTTTGCCACAGACTCAAGTCATCGTGCTAAGCCGTATCTACTAGGCTACTAGGAAACATAACAGACAATATTAATGAAAGGGATCGAAGACGGTTTTATGAAAAAACTTCATATGTGGATGGAAAGAAATAATAAACCATTTAACAACATATCTATGTCTCTCAACCTGACAATTTAAACAACACTCATGGAGAGGATTAAGAAGCCTGCGGTGATCCAGGTTCCTAATCCAAAAATTTAAGCTATGTATTTATGCACCAAATGTCTCTCTAAGACAATTTGATTTTAATAATATATATTTTCCTAAGAACAAGCTTTTGAGTTATGATGAAGTCCAAATCTTTCCTTGCATTATATATTTTTGCTTTTGTGATTTCAGAAACAATTAACAAAAGAATATTGTTATAGTAGAGCTAGCAGTGAATTGCTTAGATTAAAGTGTGTATACCAACTAATTCCAATGATTTTTTATTATTTAAAAAACTAACTAATTTCAATAAATAAATAACTAAATTCCAATGATCTTATGATTGCGCATGTGTGTCTTCCCTGAAATGTTTGTTTTTTTTGTCAATAAAGTCTAGCCCAGTTGAAAAGGGTCTTGACTTGCAGACCAATGGTCTCACTTTCGAACCCCCATAACAGTGTGTGTGTGAAAAACATTCCCCTCCCCTTTTAGTTTAGACTATCTCTTGTTTATTATTATTAGTTTTTTCATACAAATTATATTCTACTTTAATTTAATCTAAACTACGGGGAGAGGGATTCAAACTCATAGAGGGTGGGGTGGGGTGGAGAGCACATATGCAATAGCCAACTTGACTAAGTCCATGTCGGCAAACTATTGCTT